GTTTACATGTGCTTTCATGGAACTCTTGGCATCAGACGACAATACTAATCATGCCTCATACCTCCTTAACTTTTTCCTGACAAGATATAAAGCATGTAGGAGTATGTGAAAGTTCAACCAACTTTCCTGCAAAAAATTTAAGGTATGTATGTACTAGAAGTTGTGTATGTATGGTGCAAGTTTTTTCTCACTATGGGACATTGTATTTAGAAAAACAAGATGTCTTCCACTACTAGTAATATTCGTCTCGTCTGCTTTGTTCGTGGCAAGGCTGAGAAAGATATTTTCCCTATAGTGATTGATAATAATACAACCTTGAAAATCTGGGAGTCGAAATCAGAAATGTACGGCTAGACTTAAATTAAAAAAACTTTGATCTATATATAAGAAAATTCAAACAAATCAATCATGCTTTGGCCAATACTATGAATACTACTTAAAAAAGACAAGGGGAATTGATGGAGCCTCCCAATAAGCTTACTTATTATTTTTCCGTGGAAGATATAGAAGAACTTAAAAAAAACCCTCCTTATCCTCAATATGATGAAATAGGTCCTATTCATGTTATCATCAGAAAGTGGACGAATTTTAAACTAGTTATATTTTTATTCACATCATGTAGCGGTCGCAATTTTATGTATTCTAGGCTAGATTCTGGCAATGTTAACACCCTTGTGCAGCGATCTCAAGTTTGTGAAATATTATTTTTTCTAAATATGTACATCCTGCTTGGATTAGCTAATACTATCCTCCATTTATATTGAAAAAATCTCTAAAAAAAGAAATTTGCTGTATTGCAAATTTGAAAGCATTGTATATTGTCTATACTTTTGTACTTGATATTGATGTTGATGTTGATATTGTGCTTGTACTTGCTTTTACTTTTGCTTTTGCAAGATGGTAAAAAAGCCACGATTGTACAAAATTTTTTATTTTTGTATAAAAATCGTGCAGTTCATTATGGTATCTATACCTGTTTTCGATATTTCTCTCTTTTTCTTTTTTTTCTGTTCGGATTTTTTGCCGCCCTGATTAATAGTAGTACCAAAAGAAGTTTCTGGGGTCTGAATTCCGACCCTAGCTTTCCTACTTTTCTAACGACCTCTACAAACCTTTCTAGATATATTTAATC